CAGCTTTTGTCCTGAGGAGATGGGTGATTATGATGATCAGTGTGTTTTTGTTGTGGGTGTATTGTTGTGATAAGGAGGAGAGATTATCTGTCACTGTGATTGATGGGTGTCCTATGGGAAATGGTGCTTCAACTTACAAACATTTCAAGTTACAACCGAAGTTCCAGAACCACTTAAGTTCATAAGTCGAGGCACCACTGTATTGCTGTTTTTTGTAGTTCTTATGGTATGATTTCTGAGATCTGCAACTGCTTATAGTACTGTGTGAAGTTTCTTGATATTGTTCCCAAAGCCCCAATGACTACGGGGACCACTGAAGTGTGTTTCTTCCAGAGGCGAGATGTTTCATTTACCAGACCTCTGTACTTCGTTAGTTTTCCCAATTCTTTATTTTCAGCTCCGGCATCTCTGGGAATTGCAATGTCAACGATCCAGACATTTCTTCATTCTATTATTACCATGTCTTGTGTGTTATGTTCAAAGTGTCTATCCGTTTGGATCCAGAAATCCCACAAAATCTTGGCTTCGTCATTTTCTGATGCCTTCTCTAACAAGTTACTATACTTTTTTTTTGCATAATGACCAGTGCATTAATTTTTCCACTCTATCATGTCTAACTTTGTAATCTGTGCAATCTTTGTACATTCACATATGAGGTGTGACACAGTTTTATCTTTTTCTTAGCAGAGTCGACATTTGCTGTTAGCACTAATTCCTTGGATCTTAGCTTTCATCACAGTGGTTTGGAGCGCTTGTTCTTCTGCAGCAATATTGTTGTTGTTGTTGTTGTTGTTACAACTATACTTCCCCATTAGAATGAAAACTCTCTGGGCAGTTCACAACACATCAAGTCAATATTACCATATTGCAAGTCCCCAGGGCAGGGGGTACTGGGAAAATGTTTCAATTAGCAATAATTGCACCTGAAATTGACCTCATTGGGTGTGATACTGCCACTGTCACACTTCTGCCAGAAGTCAAAACGGCTGATAATAAAATTCCAATAAATGCAGAAATACAATTACAACACATACACATGCTGCTTATACACAGAGAAGGGCATCTCCTGAAGATCTTAAAATCGAAATAGGCTCAAACAGTCATTCAAATTGCCTTGTCATATGTTATCTAGGGAGTCATTGGATTGTGGTTGAAAACAATGTTTTAATCCATTAAAGTTGCCATAGGTTGGGTGTTTCCTGTAACTGACCCCAGATCTTTGGTCTTGTTGCAATTTCTGAACATTCTTCAACCATAGCTTCATGTAGAACACATTCATTATTGTTATTTGCCATCAAGTAGCTTTTAAGTTACTGAGCAGCCTAATAGGGTTCATTGCTTCTCTCTCTCTCCATTAGTTTCTATAGCTGAAGAGAGATATGAATCCAGGCTTCCAGTATCCTACTTCAACACATTGGGAAAACAAAACAAAACAAACAAAACCCTGTAGTCAATGGGGGAAATTGTCTAAAATTGTTCAGGCGGGAGGGGGGGGAATAATGAAGCTGTTGTGAAGCATTTGCAACAGAATGCCAGAAGGAGGGAGGGAGATTGAGAAAGATTCCTTTTTACATTTACTTTATTCCATGGAAAGTTTGGGAAATTTGGGACTTCCCTGTTCTGGTCCACCAGTCACCCCTTCCCTAACCCTTTGCTTCGAGGTTTAACGGGAGACAACCCCCAGTACTATTTGTAAAAGCCTAAACCACAGGAGAAAATCTACCTTCTCCTTTCCTAGAAACCAAAAGAGGCTGTAAGAAAGATACAGCTTTTCCCCCAGGAGCAGAGTTTTTTTGTTAGGAAGATGTGTTGCAGATGGATGGAAGAGTAGACTCAGAGTCAAGCATTCAGAATCAAGAATCTTAAGGGCTTTCATGGTCCATGCAATACCTTGGCCGATCATAACCCAAACTTCCTTGCTAAACAAAAAATTCCTCACCACATAAACACTTTGTACATGTCTCCAGCTCCTGTATTTAATTGCACACAAAGGAAGCATACCAAAAAGAGAAAAGAAAAAAGATATTCTGTAAAACAACATTTTTTAAACAGGTATTTTTGTCATGATAGAAACAGTAACACATTGGAAACAGTGATGCTGAAAGCCTCCAGCATGCATAATTTCTATAACATTGCATTGTGGCTTAACAAAAGGATATTGTTAGGCATGCATGAAATCTCTTCTAATCCAAATTAGGGGTCTAGTCACTAATGAAAGCATTTTTATGTGTATGTTCTAAAGCCTGAAAAATAAGCATTACACTGATATCATGCTTATTGTTCAAAGAAGCATTATCTATATGGTACCATAAATCTTGGGGGAAAATACTACGAGAACTCAACATTGTTTGGTAATTAAAAAAACAAAACACACAGACACAAGTTACCTCGAATTTTAATGTTTCTATGAAAAGCTGCCACTCTGGCAAACTGAAGCCTTTGATCCCAGATTTGAGACATTCCCCTTACATCTCTGTCAAACAATGCACTTACTGGCTAATGAATTATCCAAAGGAAAAGATGATGTTTTGTACAAGGAACAAAGCAGGGCAAAGTGATATACTTTACTGCTCAGCAGGTGGTGCAGGAAAACAACAGTGTTTCTGCAGGGTTTTCTCAAGCATTGTTATTTCTTGCATAGAAATGTCAGGGAACAATTCTGTTATGCATGACACCTGATAATGGGCCTCTAGAAGGAACTTTTAATGCTATTTCTAGGAGAATAAACCTACGCACCCTGATTCACCCAATACACTAAAATTTATGTTGAAAAGCAGCTTTTCTCTGGCGCATTCCAAGAATAAGCAGACGAGCCTTAGGGTTTCAGTGGCTGAAATCCTGTAGAGTAACAGTGAACTCATAAAGGCGAATGACATCACCACAGATGTTAGTCTTAATTTAATCTAAAGTTTCCTATCTCTCTTTCCCCTCAGATTCTGAGGCTCCCTAGAGATCCCTTTCAATTTGGGAGAGACTTTGGAAATCTCAGGATAAGAAGGGGGAGTGAATGGAATATCTTGTAATAAATCACTCTGGTTACAACGGATAGAATAGTAGAAAACAATACCAATATATATCCTGGTGTGTCGGAGAGCTTTTAATATATACTTTAATATATACATATTGAATATATACTATATACATATTGAATATATACTTTAATATATACATATAGAGATCCCCAAGGAATATATATAGGAATATATATATAGGAAACTCACAATTTAGAGTTTTCCACTCCCCCCGCCCCAAGGAATCTCAGAATCAGGGGGCGGGGGGAGTGGAAAACTCTAAATTAAAGAGGGTCATGATAGGCAGGGTTCTTCACCAGGATTTCAGACAATGACTATTCTGGATTTATTTACATTTCAGAAGCAAAAAAGGGGGCACACTTCTGGATAGGAGTCAGAATTCTAGTTTCAGAGGAATTAGCATATCTAGCCCCCCCCCCAAAAGAGTGGTGAGGTGATTTATGTAATGCAAATTTCAAATAAAACAGGAAAATGTAGCAAACAGGCACCTGCACAAAAAAAAGTTATTGTGATAATTTGATGAACATTTTGATGGGGAGAAGAAACCAGTAATAAACTCAGGAAATAGTTAAATCAGATAGAAATCTCTATAAGGTCTAAGAAGCACTTGAATAAAATTGAGCTAAGATGCACATTACATCAGCTAATGAGCTGAGATGCTGTAGATGCCGGGGGGTGGTGGTGGTGGAGAGATATGACTGCTAAGAAGCAGAAAGTGGTTAGGCATAAGCACAGACAAACACACAAAAATCAAGGAACTTATGCTAATATGTGGAGCAATTTGCATTCTAACATGGGACCTAGCCAATCACTAACAAACCCATGTTTGATCTCTCATTATGTCTGAGGAAGTGGACATGTCCACAAAAGCTCACATTAAAATATAATCATCTTTAAGATGCCACTACATTTTTGTCTCTCTTTTTTGTTCTTTTTTTTAAAAAAAAAATTGTTAATTTAGTTTTTACGTACAACACTAACAAGCTAGTTTCCTTATATGCGGAGGAAAGAGGGCATAAGGCAGCTGGGAATCAATGAGATGAGGCATAGACAATACATTTTGGATTTTTTTGGGGCTACAAATTCCATAATTCTCCTTTCTGGGAATCCCACTTAGGGGATCCAGATACCTAAAGCGTGTTCACCTAGACAGAAAGCCCAGCTAGCAAGCTTCGTGCCTTAGATAAGCAAGCCCAGCTTTTTATTTGAAAGGCAGTTTCCCAGCAACTGTTGGGGTAGGCTCCTTTTACAGCTGGGCTTTCTCTCTAGAAAAGCACAACTTAGGTGCCCATAAAGTCTGGGTTCTGCAGCTGGGGCTCCCAGAAAGGAGAATTATGGGAATTTGTAGTCCATAAATTTTGCGCACACATCTCTACTCTGCTTTTTCCATCCTACTTAGCAAGAGCAGTGACTGTATTGTGATACGTCTCGAATCAACACACAGCAATGTGTTTTTATTTTTATTTTTCAAAAGTCCCATTCATTTTTCAGGTAATTTTGAAAGCCCTTCCTGTCACAAAGCACCGAGAGACGAAACTGTAGAATGTTTTCTCCAAGGTATAAATCCAGTGTTCATTTGTGAAATAAAAGAAGAGCATTGTTTCTGAAAATATAGCTACTAGTCAAATACAACCAAGTGTATAAAATTTCGCATCATGTGACTGTACAGTAACGTTCCACAAGGCAATCATGTGACAACTCAAAAGCATTAGCTTCAGCTGACATATCAGTAGCATCACCTCTTGGAACAGACTTCACTAGCATTCCCTCTAAACATATGCAATGCAGATGTTCATGTTTTATTTTTGTCTCAGAAAAAAACACCATTCATTTTTCGTGGTGTTTAATAAGCCTATAGAAATATTTTTTCAATATATAAAACAATGCAATTGGGGAAAACAAAAGGACAAAGGAAACTGCAGGATTCTGCTTAACTTACTGAAAAGGATAATAGGTCTCTGTACTCACCCAATACAGATAATTCTGCTGAAGCACTGCTGTTCTCCTCCTTGAAAGTGACAACACACGTGTATGTGCCAGAGTCATCATCTGTTGCATTAGAAATCAATAAGTTGCTGCCAGCCAGTAATGAATATTTTTTCGACCTGGAATAATGACAGGGCAGCTGTTTTTAAAACGAGGCAATGCACATCATCCACTATTTTCTTCTATTTAATTTAGGAGATTTATATGCCTCTCCCCAAGCTCACTGTTAAACAGAACTCCAGGTAGCTCCTAGCAATGTATAATACTCATTAACTTTGATATAAAATGAGCAATCAATGAATACAAATGACTTCACAACATAAGGATCGTTTTAAAAAAATCTAAATACCCTGTAAGTAGATTGAAAGCTCATCAGAATACAAAACTCTTATCAAGATGGTGGGAGAGGAGTAGAGAAGGAACTGAATGGGCTTTCCATGGGAAAGAATTCAATCAGTATGGCTGAGCTTTGGAGTCACTTCAGGAGCTGAGATTGCAAATAAGCATAAGTCACGTGTCACCCTCTATAATCCATGCAAATTCTCAGTCCTCCAGGTGTGGTTATCTGGAAGTTGAGTAATGGCAGCTGGGCTTCTTTCTTGTTAGCTTGAAACGTTTTGTTACTCATCCAAGTAGCTTCCTCAGTCTGAGGAGAGTCGGTAGGAGATCCCTGATATATCCTCCACGTTGGTTTCGCTTCCCTCTGTTCTAAATACTAACTGAATTCTAACCAGCCTATTCAGACCAGGGGGAAGTGAAACCAACATGGAGGATATATCAGGGATCTTCTACCAACTCTCCTCAGACCGGAGAAGCTACTTAGGGATGACGTTTCAACCTAATTAGAAAGAAGTCCTGTTGCCATGATTCAACTTCCAGAAACCCTCCGAAATATACATCTAGATAGAGGCAGGGGTGGAGACGGTGTAA